TCCCCCCTGTCCCCCCCCAGCTCCCGTTTCACACCAGTTCAGGACCCGTCCCGCCGGGGCTGCCAGCCACCCCGCACCCTGGCCAGCATCCCGGGCAGGAAAGTCATCCCCATCCCCAAATTATGCTCTGCTTTGCTCCCTCTCCCCCCCACCAGATTGCTCTCTAGGTGGGATTGGAGGTTCCTTATGGATCCAGGGATAAATTGGGGCAAGCAGGGGGCTGCACCCCTCCATCCTCACCCAGGATGAGCATCCCTCGCCACCTGGGTACCAGCCAGCTCAGGGAGCTGATCCTTCAAAAAACCACATCCTTTTTCCCCCTTTTCTCCCTCTCCCCACTCCACAGCCCCTTTTCCCCCTTTCTTCCCTTTTTTTTTGCCTTTTTCACCCTTTTTCCCCCTCCTGCTCAGCCAGCGGCACTGAGACAAACCCCCATCTCCCCTCCTGGGCACCTCCAGAGAGGAAGAGCCCACCCTGGATATAGGATTTCTCCCCCCTGGATGTAGGATTTCTCCCCCCTGGATATAAGATTTCTCCCCCCTGGATATAGGATTTCTCCCCTGCATATAGGATTTCTCCCCCCATATATAGGATTTCTCCCTCTGGATATAAATGATTCCCCTTGGATGCAGGATTTCTCTCCTGGATACAGGGTTTTCACCCCCTGCATATAGGATTTCTCCCTCTGGATATAGGATGTCTCCCTCTGGATATAGGATTTCTTCCATGGATATAGGATTTCTCCTCCCGGCTGTAGGATTTCTCTCCTGGATATAGGATATGCCCCCCTTATATAGTTTTTCTCCCCTGAATATAGGATTTCTCTCCTTGATATAGGTTTTCCTTGCCTGTATGTAGGATTTCTCCCCCGAATATAGGATTTCTCTCTTAGATATAGGATCTCCTCCCCCTGGAGATAGTTTTGCTCCACTGGATCTAGGTTTCCATCCCCCCGTATATAGGATTTCTCTCCTGGCTATAGGATTTCTTTTCCCTGGCTATAGGATTTCTCCCTTGGCTATAGGATTTCCCCCTTGGCTATAGGATTTCCAGCCATGGCTCTAACATTTCCACTCTGGACATATCATTTCCACCTCGGACCCGTCACTTAAGCCACCACCGCTCTTTTGCTCCCCTCACCTTTCGCGACGGTAAAACAACCTGAGCAACTTTGCTGCGCCGTGGCACGCTCCGAGGGGAAGAGCATTCCCCCCCCTTCCCTCTCCCAGTCTGCATCTTCCAAATACCTGCTTCCTCCCACAACCTCCCCCCCCAAAAAACCCCTCCTTTAAAGCTCTCCCTGGGGCAATGCAGAGGATGCACCCGCAGCGCTGCTGACACCGGAGCATCCAACGCCGGTTTCCTCCTGTCTCATTTCTTTTCCCCCCCCTGCCCTTGACCTCGGCAGCAGGTCCCACCACTCCAGCGGGATGGGGCAGGAGAGGAGTGGGCTGCAGTGATTTATTCATGGGGAAGGGCTTTTTCCTTTCCTTCTGGCATCCTCCCTTCCCAAATTTCCTGGTGTTTTCAACCAAAGCCTTAAACAGGGATGCAGGAAGATGCAACAGGCTGTGAGGGAAAGGGGAAACTGAGGCATGGACAACTCAGGTTGCGCAGTGTGACCCCACAGCCCCCCCCACCACCCCCGGTGCCAAAAATTCCCAACCTCTGCTCCCATGGATGCTCCTCTCCCTTGGGGAAGCGGGATCTGGCCCCAGCAGAGCTGGCTGGGGGCTGGCTTCTTGCAGCCAGGTGGTCTGGTCGGGGGGAATTTAGACATGAACAGGGGGTGAAGCATCTCCCCCCCCGGCACCTTTGCTTGGAAATCCCCTGAGACCTGCAAAGGACCTTAATTTTTAGGAAATGTTCCTAATTTTTAGCACCCCCCCCCAAAATTTTCAGTAGAAGACCCTAATTTTTAGCAGAAGAGCCTAATTTTTAGCACAGGGGGCTAATTTAGGACCTTTCTAAATGGATTAAATTGGAGGGGGGCGTGCTCTTTTTGGGGTGCCACTGGCCATAACTGTCCTGTTGCTGCTGGCAGGAGGGAGCCTGCACGAAGCTGGATGAAGACATCCTGGACATCCCCTTGGACGATCCTGACGCCAACGCGGCGGCCGCCAAGATCCAGGCTAGTTTCCGTGGCCATATGACCCGCAAGAAGATCAAAGGGGGGGAGATCGATCGGAAAACCAAGGACACCGAGTGCGCCAACAGCACCCGCGGCGGCGACCTCCGCAACGGTGACTAGGTACTGCCCAAATCTCCCTCATCCCACCCCCCAAAAATGAGGTAATTTTTATAAAGACGCTGCTCCGACCATCCTTCCCCCCGGTGGATTAGGGATGGAGCATCTTTCCCTGGGCCAGCTGGGGATGGAGCATCCTTTCCCAAGATAACTGGGGGATGGAGCATCCTTCTCGGCACCGATTTGGGCTGGAGAAGGGGATTCTTATTCCCAGGAGGTGAAAGCCCGCGGGCAGGCAGCACGCAGGCAGCCCCTGCCTGCCCTAATTTTGGGAGCGCGCCGTAGTAGTTAGCATGGGAAGGCGAAGCCCTAGATTTGAATTGAATTTCTCCCTTAGCAACACCACCCCGAACGCCTCGCCTCAGCACATGCTATTTTTAAAAGCCTGTGTCACAGTCTCCTGGCAGGAAAAGGTAAATTTAAAAAGCGCCCACGGGTGCCGAGGCCGCGTGGCAGCAGAGCCCCGGGGGGTGGCCGTGCCGGGCCGGCGTGGTGTGAGCCCCGGCTACTGGGAAGGCTGGTTTGGGGTGAGGGGCGGGGAGGTCTCGCTGCCAGAGCAGCCACGTGTGTGCGGCTGGTCTGGTGGGAATGTCACCGGGATGTAACTGGGATGCAGGTGGGGATGAAGAGGGGATGAACTGGGGGTGCAATGGGAAGGAACTGAGGATGCAGTGGGGTCGCGGTGGGAATGCAGTGGGAATGCAGGGGGGATGCAGGGGGGATGCAGGGGGGATGAACTGAGGATGCAATGGGAAGGAAGTGAGGATGCAGTGGGGATTCAGTGGGCACCCAGTGGGGATGCAGTGGGCACGCAGTGGGGATGCAGTGGGGATGAACTGAGGATGCAATGGGAAGGAACTGGGGATGCAGTGGGGATTCAGTGGGCACACAGTGGGAATGCAGTGGGGACGAACTGGGGTTGCAGAGGGGGCACAGTGGAGAAGCAGTGGGGGGTGCAATGGAGATGCAGTGGGGATGCAGTGGGGATGAACTGAGGTTGCAGAGGGGGTGCAGTGGAGAAGCAGTGGGGGTGCAATAGAGATGCAGTGGGGCTGCAGCAAGGATGCAGTGGGGGTGCAGTGGGGATGAACTGAGGATGCAATGGGAAGGAAGTGAGGATGCAGTGGGGATTCAGTGGGCACACAGCGGGGATGCAATGGGGCTGCAGTGAGGATGCAGTGGGGATGCAATGGGAAGGAACTGAGGATGCAGCGGGGATTCAGTGTGCACACAGTGGGGATGCAGGGGGGATGCAGTGGGGATGAACTGAGGATGCAGTGGGGATTCAGTGGGAATGCAGTGGGGATGAACTGAGGATGCAATGGGAAGGAACTGAGGATGCAGTGGCGATTAAGTGGGCACGCAGTGGGGATGTAGTGGGGATGAGGTGGGGATGAACTGAGGATGCAATGGGAAGGAAGTGAGGAAGCAGTGGGGATTCAGTGGGCACACAGTGGGAATGCAGTGGGGATGAACTGGGGTTGCAGAAGGGGCACAGTGGAGAAGCAGTGAGGGTGCAATGGAGATGCAGTGGGGCTGCAGCGAGGATGCAGTGGGGGTGCAGTGGGGATGCAGTGAGGATTCAGTGGGCACGCAGCGGGGCTGCAGTGGGGAAGCAGCTACCATGTGCAGGGGCTGTGAAGCTCATTAGGGCTTGTTAGGGCTGCCTTGTTACATGGGCTGAGCACCTGAGCTGGGTTCACCCACTCCCACCTGCCCTGGAGTGGGGGGGCCAGTCTGCGTGTCCTTCCTTTGGGGTGCAATGGGGCTGGGTGAGAGCGGGCTGCGGTGGGAACAGGCAGGACCAAGGGTGCAGGAGCACGGTGGGGGTGGCTGCAAGTAGGGCACGGGCAGGGTGCAGGCAGGGTGTGGGCAGGGCACGGAGAGGGTGCAAGCTGCAGGAGCAGGGCGTGGGAAGGGTGCAAAGAGGGCAGGGTGCAGGCAGGGTGCAGGCAGGGAGGGGACGGGGCACAGAGAGGGTGCAGGAGCAGGGGGCAGGCAGGATGCAGTTTGCACCAGTGGGATGCAGGAGCAGGGGGCAGGCAGGGGGCAAGGAGGGGATGGGGCAGAGAGAGGATGCAGGCAGGATGCAGTTTGCACCAGTGGGATGCAGGAGCAGGGGGCAGGCAGGGGGCAAGGAGGGGATGGGGCAGAGAGAGGATGCAGGCAGGATGCAGTTTGCACCAGTGGGATGCAGGAGCAGGGGGCAGGCAGGGGGCAAGGAGGGGATGGGGCAGAGAGAGGATGCAGGCAGGATGCAGTTTGCACCAGTGGGATGCAGGAGCAGGGGGCAGGCAGGGGGCAAGGAGGGGATGGGGCAGAGAGAGGATGCAGGCAGGATGCAGTTTGCACCAGTGGGATGCAGGAGCAGGGGGCAGGCAGGGGGCAAGGAGGGGATGGGGCAGAGAGAGGATGCAGGCAGGATGCAGTTTGCACCAGTGGGATGCAGGAGCAGGGGGCAGGCAGGGGGCAAGGAGGGGATGGGGCAGAGAGAGGATGCAGGCAGGATGCAGTTTGCACCAGTGGGATGCAGGAGCAGGGGGCAGGCAGGGGGCAAGGAGGGGATGGGGCAGAGAGAGGATGCAGGCAGGATGCAGTTTGCACCAGTGGGATGCAGGAGCAGGGGGCAGGCAGGGGGCAAGGAGGGGATGGGGCAGAGAGAGGATGCAGGCAGGATGCAGTTTGCACCAGTGGGATGCAGGAGCAGGGGGCAGGCAGGGGGCAAGGAGGGGATGGGGCAGAGAGAGGATGCAGGCAGGATGCAGTTTGCACCAGTGGGATGCAGGAGCAGGGGGCAGGCAGGGGGCAAGGAGGGGATGGGGCAGAGAGAGGATGCAGGCAGGATGCAGTTTGCACCAGTGGGATGCAGGAGCAGGCAGGGGGCAGAGGGCAGGCAGGGAGCGGGCAGGGGGCAGGCAGGGAATGGGCAGGGAGCAGGGGACAGGTAGAGAGCAGGGGGCAGGCAGGGTGCAGGGTGCAGGCAGGGTGCAGGCCGGGTGCACGTAGGGTGCAGGGAGCAGGCAGGGGTCAGGCAGGGAGGGGATGGGGCACAGAGAGAGTGCAGGGTGCAGGGGGGCAGGGGGCGGGCAGGGAGCAGGCAGGGAGGGGATGGGGCACGGAGAGGGTGCAGGAGCAATGGGCAGGCAGGACGCAGTTTGCACCAGTGGGATGCAGGAGCAGGGGGCAGGCAGGGGGCAGGGAGCAGGCAGGGGGCAGGCAGGGAGGAGGCAGGGGGCAGGCAGGGGGTGTGCCCAGCGCTGACCGCTCTCTCCTTGCTTGCAGGGGCCTCCAGCCGCTCCCCGGACTCCCCTCGCCGCTGACCCCCCACCGAGGCCCAGGACCCCCCCGCTGTCCCCTGCTGGCCCCTGCATGCGCCCCCCGGGGTCCCCCCTGCCCCTGGCTTCTTCTCCCCGCCCTGGGGTCCCCCCGCCCCAATAAACGTCCCTGCCAGAGCCCCCGGCCTGTCCTTGGCACCTTTCAACGTCACCCAGCGGAGCGGTGAGGTCACAGCAGCGCGGAGGGGGGTGGCTGCAGGGAGGGGCCGGGTGATGTCACACTGCGCTGGGGTGTGACGTCACACTGCGCTGGGGTGACAGCGCCCGGGCACTGCGGGGTGTGCTGTGATGTCACGCGACTGCATGGGGTAGGGTGTGACGCCGCCCCGGGGTGGGAGAGGGCTCGTGTGACACTCTGTGGCCACGGGTTGGGCCATGTGACGTCATCCGACGGCTAGTGTGACATCACACAGGTGTGTGTGACATCATACGGGTGTGTGTGACATCACTGCTCGCTGTGCTCACCGGTCTGGCGTCAATCGGGTGCAAGTGATGTCACCGCTGGCTGCGTGAGGGCGGGTGTGACGTCACGCAGGCGCGCGTGACATCACCGGCGGGTGCGTGGCAGCCAGCGTGACGTCACACACTCCTCATGACATCACACCAGCTGCCACAAGGACGTGGCAGGCGTGACACCCCGGTGACAGACAGGCTGCCAGGTGTCAGGGTGTGACAACGCACATGCACCACGGTGCCATCCTGAGGGTCTGGGCGGGGGGTGGGTGTGCGTTGTGACATCACGCAGCCACTGTGACATCACACAGCCGCTATGACATCACTCAGAGGGACCCACCACCCCCTCAATCCCCACAAATTCACGCCAAATGGTGGTGCTGGACAGCACGGCCAGATTTTAATCAGAAAACCCCTAAAAAAAACCCTGTACATGTGTCCCTCCCCTCCCCCCCCGGATTTTAATGTTCTTATATGAAAAAGTCCCCCATTTCAACTGATATATATATATATATAAAAAACAAACAAACAAACAAGAAGAGCACCCCCTCCTCCCCGTGGGGCTGGGGCTATTTTGGGGTGTTATCTTCACAGGGAGACTCGCCACCCCCCCTGACCCCAGGGAGCAACCCCAAACTCAGGCACACACACCCCCTGAACCCGTTAAACACCCCCCAGGGCGAGTCCAGCTGCTTGAGGCGTCTTTTAAAAAGAAAAACAAAAAAATAACCCCCAAAGGGAAAAAAAGCACCCCAGAAAATGGGGGATACTGGATGCGGACACCGCTTTTTTTTGGGAGGGGGGTGGTGGTGGTGGGGGGGG